ACTTACCGGACAAACGCGCGCGTGCGCGCTTGACAACGCACACAGCGAACGGTGTTTTCCTCGACATTTCGAGATAACATTTACCGCCCCCGTAGCGCTCGTTGGGCGAAAATCTCTCTCGTCGCCCGTCGTTCCGTACATCTCGGCGAAACAAATCCTCATCGAGCGCTAACGTATAACGAACGAGGTGTCGCTTCCTCCTTAATGGTCTCCCCGCTCGCATTTTCGCGCCCCGGGATTCTTTTGATTCTCTCTCTCTCTCTCTCTCTCTCTCTCTCTCTCTTTCTTAACGGACCTATTTCACCTCGCGCGCCGCGCGCCCCTTGCGAAAAGCTAGTTGCGCGGGCCGCGGTATCGCTTCGACACGAATGAAATACGGAGTCCGGTCTCTCTCGGCGAGGGTCGCTCTCTACGCGCGGTCTCCTACGACTCTTTTCGGGAAGGTGATAGAGGTGAGGGGGGAAGGGGGAGAAATCGTAAGGCGCGGAATCGGGGTTGCGGCGCGCGCGAGCACGTGTGCAGCTATCCTCCCCCGTGTGGCACCTATGTGTCGGCCCGTTCCGATAAGAGCTATAAGGCAGGGTGTGTATACCGCCTATTTACGGACTGTGAAGAAGATAAACAATGAATGGCGACCGCCGCATCGTCCCGAGTCCGGTTAAGGGTTTTCGCCTCGCCACGTATGAGATGTGTGCACGTGTTCCAATTCCCTTCCGAGTGTGCGTATACGTGAAAAAGTGAGTGGTCCTTCCAGCGGAGCCGTTTTGGGAGGCCTAGTCCGCTACTTATCTCTCACCCCCTCCCCACTCCCCTCAAACTCTCTCTTTCTCTCTCGGATCTTGGATCTCGGATCTACCATATCGGATGTAATAAAGTGGAATCACGTTTGACATTAAATAAAGTAGAATCACGCGTTTGACATTAAATATAGACCTTCCGTTTCTCTCTCGCGGTAAAGTTGTAAAAAAAATTGCTCAACTATCGAACCGAAATGACCTTTTTTTTCTTTTGCTCGCGCGGTTTCGAATTGGAAACGATAGCGCACGAAGAATGAGAAAGTTATACGAGATTCAGAGTTTTCGCATTAAAAGTGTAACATTTTACGATCGTCGTGTGAAAAATTTATCGACTATCTAAAGTGCGATGCGATTTAATCAAATCTTTATTAATTTCCCAGCAAAACACAGATTATAACTGCGGCAATGTGTTGCTGTAATATTACAACATTCCAAAAAAACTATATTGCAGAAATGTTACAATATTGCTGTAATATTGCGGTAATAATTAGTAATACTTTAGTGAATTTGTTTTTCGCAGCTATACATGTATGCTTTTCTTTCTCGCATCTCAGAAAATTCTAACGTTCCTCGAAACATTCCTAAGTTTCATGCATCTTACTTATGGCGCTTAATGGACGAAACGGGCGCTACGTTACGCTCTACCACCCCCCCTCCCTCCATGGGCGCGCGTTTCAATGTATGCAGGTGTGTTTCTACGACGACACGTAATGTAAAAATGCCGCCGCGTACAAAGCAGAGTCGAGCAGGCGGGGGGGGGGGGACACACCCGCGGGGTGCGTTACACGTGTGCGTGCGTGTACACTATACGCGCGTACACGGACGTACGTGGCGCGCGTGCCTGTACATGAGTGACTGCACAGCGCGCCGCGCTGCACGTATAGCGCGGATCATGGAGGTCGCAGGCGTGCATACGCCTGGCAGCCCTCATTAACCCCTCGTTTTCCTCTCCTCTTTGATCGCGCCGCCGCGATTGGCCGCTAAACATATCGTGAACCGCTTCTACGGGACTGACGGATTATTTCATCGTGCAGAGCTTATATAGTTGCGAAGGGGCGCGGGACGAGGTAATGTATTCTCAGTGGGAGATCGCCAGGGTCGTTCCGTTTCTCCGTAACTCGTGGAATTACATATCATCTCGAAATTTCATTTGTACCCATCATTAAGACCCACTCCTACTAATGTAGATTGACTTTAATCTCGGTTCAGTTTACTCTTTATTCTCTTCTAATTCGTAGAACTAGAGGAAGATGAAAAGTATTAAGTGAAACCGAGATTAAAGTTAACTTCAGCTGCAACTGTCGCATACCCGACGATTGCTTTTACTTTTATATCAACTTCTTTTAATTATATAAAAGAAAGAGAGAGAGAAATATTTTCAATATTGCTCGAGCATATAAATATTGCTCGTAGTTACAAAGACAAATATTAATAATAATTAACGAGACCGCAAATTTCGTGGGTGGTACTAACAAATATATTTAATTTATATCAAGATGTACAGATATCTATAAATGCAGTACCAGTTTCGACTTGACTGCAGTCTTCATCAGCCGCTAAACAATTAAATACTTAAAACATGATTACATAAAAAAACTTTAAATAATAAATAAGTAAAAAACGAGGCTATAATTCATGTCAATAAAGTCTAAGTTAAAACGATGAGCATAATACGGTAAATTTCCGCGACGCATTTTAAGGCCAGCGTAGAATGTCAATAATCTAAAAATCTGTACATCTTGATATAAGTGAAATATACTTGTTAGTACACCCACGAAATTTGCTCGTTTACGGCCTCGTTAATTATTATTAGTATACAATATTTTATTAATAAAGATACATACATCCTTTTGTTATCATTAATGTCTGGCGTTTCAGTGATAAAAAATAATTTCTTTTTAAAAACACACTATAAATGTATTTATTTTTATATTAACTTACGAATAAAGATAAATGCATCTTTTTGTTATCATTAATATCTGGCGTTTCAATGAAAAAAAAATTCTTTTTAAAAACACATTATAATGTATTTATTTTTACACAATTATTTTATCCAGTGTGTTGCTAACGTGACGAAACTCTAGTATATCGAAGGATTAAAATCTACATTAGTATATAGAAATGGATGTCAGTTATTGCAACGCTAGTTTGTGACTCGTGATATCATTTGACAGCGACAACTGACAATTTATCTCTCTGGACGATAACATCGCAGGACTTCGGTGTAGGTATTCGTTCGCGTAAAAAAGCGAATACGTTATCCGCGTCTATTATATATCCCGCCGCTCCGTTGACAAACCAGGGCGGGGTCCTCCTGTACGGCGAGGGAATCCGATTAATCGATTTTTAATCTGCAGCCCGCGCGAGAGTTCAGAGTTTTTGCAACAAGTTGTACCATTAAAGACACCACCGGCTGCACGTCCGAACGTCGGTATTAATTATTTCATCGTGACCTCGGTTTGTCGACCGCGCTCAACGGAATGCCGGGGAAAGAGAGGAGGAGGAGGGACGAGGGAGGGGAGAAAGAGACAATATAAATTCTGCCTCGTTGAATCGTAATCGGCGCTTAACAGGATTCCAGCCACGGGAGGAGTTCAGCTGCACAGGGTGAGACGGAGGGTGGCTATCCTATTCTACGGTGAACGAAAAGGAATTAATAAAACGACAAGCCTGCACGGGGCGGAAACCGCGCGAAAACGAATAAACCTCGCGGGCGGTGGCGGCGGCGGCGGCGGCGGTGGAAGTGGGTCATCTTCAGAAAACTAACGATATCCGATCGTAACCAAGCGGGACCGAAATCGAGTGGTATATACGATCGTTCATCTTGTCCCTCTAAGTGAGAAAATGTACCGTGTACCTCGGGAATGTTAGCGACAGCTGGAGTAGCATTTTATTCGAAATAACAAATAGCTCCGCGAACGAATTCGACGCGGACAAAATATATCCATACGCGCTGGCTAATTGAATTTTTAATTAAATCATCAAATTTAAGTGATTCAAAGGGATAGCCTGATTTAGCACGCTGAAAAATTAGGTGGTTCTTTTGGAATTTTTTTTAAGGAAACTATTCAACCAATCCTTTTGAACTTTATAGGGTAATAATTTCTTATACTATTGAACTAACAAAAAAATATTTTTTTGCCAGAAAAAAGTATTTATTATGCAAGTGATAATAACATTTATTCGGCGATGATGGTGTTTGGCGGCGTGTAAGAGGCGGCGCTCAAAAACTATTCGTTCGATTGACTTGGGCCTTTGCGCAAATACTCCCCTAATAACTTGAACCACAGTTTAGAATATTATTTAATTCAATAATTTTTATTGCATAATAAACACGAAAAATTTTCTGCCAAAATTGCTACCTTTTTTTTCAAGTGTCGCGATTTTCACAATTTCGCATTATTTTCATTAAAAATAGGTTCAGTTAATGCGTAAACTCTTAATAAACAATAATCTTTTTGGATTTTTGATTTCAAACAAATACAAATGACGCTACATATTGCACGCCGCCCGCCGACACGTCGAATAAAAAGTTATTATTATTTGGATAATAAATACTTTTTTTCTCGCAAAAAAATATTTTTTTGTTAGTTTAATAGTATAAGAAATTACTCTATAAAGCTCAAAAGGATTGGTTATATAGTTTCCTAGAAAAAATTCCAAAAATCACCTAATTTTTCAGCGTGCTAAACCAGGCTTTTCCCTCAAGTAAACAGACTAATAAAATATTTTGTCGTTGCTCCTTCCAGATGTTAATCAAAGTGGCACCATCGACATGAAGGATTTCGACCTCGCCGTGCAAGTAAGCGTATTGCGTTGAATCACTTCCTCTCTCACTCTGTTGTGCTCTTTATGCTTTTATTACGAGAACGAGAATCTTGATTGAATCTGAACTTTTGAAATAAAACAGATCTGTACGGACGTCTTAAATTCGACAGATTCGAAAGACGTGATCGATTATCTCTCTTCATTTCGCATTGATCACACTCATCAATCAGGAGTGTTCAAAAATTTTAGACAACGATGGCGCTTACTTATTCTCATTATTACAGCGAATCTGCAACTCCAGGCATTGGAAACCGGATGACGTCATGTCGCAAAACATCAAAGACACTCTAACGAAGGTTTGGGAGGGACTGAAGCAACGGGCGGATGCCGATCAAGACGGACAGGTATACCTAAATTATTCTCTTAAATTATTTATAATTTAATAATTATTATATATTTTAAAATAAAATCACATTATAGTTTATCGGCCTTTAACTCTCCCCGTGCACTAATAGGTGGGGCGTGACATACCCCAGCAAAATTTAAACTGCTTAAATTTAGTACGTAAGAATAATATTATTTTTTGTTTTCAAAAAAGATTGAAGAGTTTATTGTTTTGTTCACTGAGAAAAAAATTAATCGTACGAACTAAATTTGTATAGTTGTTCAATCCAATGATTGATTCTACAATTCTTTAGTTGCATAAAGAAAGGTATAGTTCATTCATGTCAACCATCAAAATTTTTTAATGAAGAATTAACCAAACTAACTCAATTAAATTATTTTGTTTGAAATACTAGTATTTATTTGTGTTTGCATGCTTTTAGTTATCCAAGTAATATATTTGTTCAAATTCCAAGTATCAAACTGCAAACTAAACGATGTTGATAATAAATAACATATAAACAGGTATAATAAATAGTGTGTATTTTTAATTGAACAGTTGCGTTAAATACGATAAATTTTTGTTGAAACAAAATAGTTTTTAAATAAAAAATAGTATTTTGTTTATAATAATAACAAATTATTTTGTGTCATTGCAGTAACGTTTAATTGAACGTATCAGACTAAATATTTTGGTAAGATGAAACAAATTTTGTGTTTTTCAATAAATTTTTTTTCTCAGTGTTTTATTCTTACATCTTAAGGAACAAGAATCGATATTACGAGAGACGAAATTATATTGTCCACATGGTTTGCCATGTTGGTTATTTTGTCACCTGGTGCACGGAGCGTTAAGGTGCTTCTTTCTTATATTTTATATCCTCTGAAATAACGTTCTGAATCTTCAGTTGTGCATCTCCGTTCCATTTTCTGTCTGCATCTATCGATTTTTAAAACGTTTTTCGCCGTTTTAAAAATAACCCCGCGGCTGTTTGCTTGTATATTTGTATTTCACTCTGCAACTTAAGGGAATATTTCGCGATGTATTTCCGCGATCGACGGTTAAAGTTTAAAAATGTCATACGAGGAGACGTACACAGTAAAAAACGTTTTGTATTTATGTTGGAAACGGTTTCTTGTTAAAATTTTGTGTTAAATTTTTAACAATACATATTTGTATGTTAAATTAACATAATGTGATCATGTTATTTAAATATTTTGTGTTAAATTGATATTCAAAATTTCTCAGTGTCAAAATAACACAATTTATTTAAGTAAGTGAATAAATAACATAACAAATAAAGTAGTTTTAAACCGTAAAATTCTAAGATAAATGCATAACAAAAAATAAATATACTTGTTAATTTTACATGTTACAAGTGTTAATTTTACTGAAGAATAATATGATTCCACAATTTGTTTCCAAATTGTATTAAAGTGTTACATGTTTTTGTATTAATTTTTATACATAAAGTTTGTGTTACTTTCTAACATATTCATTTTGAGTTCAATTAACATAAAAATTTGAGTGGACCGTTTGGGGCGTGTGAGATGTGTTAAATTTAACACAAATTTTTCAACTGTGTGGAGAGAGAGAGAGAGAGAGAGAGAGAGAGAAAGCTTGCGATCCAGAGACGAATATGTGTATACGACGTTAATAGTCGCGATATCTTTTAGATCAGTCGAGACGAGTGGTACTCGATGTGGGAGGAGTACGCGAAAGATCCGGCGCACGCACTCGAGTGGCAGCAAACGTACATGAACTTCATGTTCGATCTCGAGGACTCTTCCGGTAAGTTCCTTCCCGCGGAAGCGCGCGGCGCGCTCGTTCGTTTTCTCTCGTGGTGAATACGTTTATATATTCCACGCTAGTTAACGTGCCGCGCGCGTGACGGTAATTTATTATGCATTTGCGCGGAGAATCCAGAAATACTAATGTAAGCATAATTACGAAACAGTGAGTAACTCTGACGGGGTGGGGGGGGGGGAGGAGGGAGGAGGAAGCATATATGTATCATTAATTCTGTCCCCTTACAGAGTTTCGCAAATTACAGTAAACTCTCGGTACATCAGCTCTCCCTAGACCTATACTCCCAACATCGTTTCACTTCGTCTTTTCAATGAATATAGCGTTGGCGCGGCAGAGAGGAAATCCGTAATACCGAGTGTAAATTACGTAATTTACACTCATTTTCACTTTCAATGCGCGCAAAAAGCAAACAAATTACACTTTTTGCCATTGTCAAAGTCAAGGCCAAGGGAGGGAAGGAGGGATGTGGCACCGCACCAGTGCTCTCCAGAATGTAAAGCCCGTATCACACGACACATTGCAGATTGAGGATTGTGAATCGAAGATTAAAATTCAACTGATTAGAACGGATTAAATAATTAAAATTATCTGACGACCTGATTGAATTCTAATCCTCAATTGAATTTTCAATTCTTAATTTTTAATGCATAGTATGAATCGGGTTTTAAGTTTACAGTGGATGCGTGTTCTCTTTCTGACTTTTGAAGTTTTTTTTTCGGCATCCAAAAAAAATATTCTGTCCTTTAGCGATATCCTCTTGATTTCTAGAGGAGTTTTCTCTGATAGTCGGCCTCAAGAAGATACTCTAAAATGTAAAGGAATATCGTATAATTCTTGATCATAGTCTTGATCTTATGTACATGTGTCCACTTTTTTATAGCTGAATATGTGTTTATAGAGGAATATCTTTTAATTTTGTGTAAGATTTTTTGTAAAGGAAGTGTTAAAAAAATTCCCAATTTACTAGTAGAATATTTTTTTGGGGGTGCACGCATTGAAGATTGAGGATTGTGAAACGAAGATTAGAATTCAACCAATTATTTAAAACGAATGGATTAAAATTAAAATTATCTGATTGACCTGATTAAATTCTAATGTTAAATTCTTAATTTTCAATGCATAGTGTGACACGAGTTTTAGGGGCTACGGTCACAGTGGATGCGTGTTTTCTTTCTGACAAACTTTTGAAGTTTTTTTGAGTATTTCAGCACCAAAAGAAAAATATTCTGTCCTCTTGATTTCTAGAGGAGTTTCCTCTGATATTCGGCTTCAAGAAGATATTTTTCTAAAATGTAGAGGAATATCGTATAATTCTTGATTATAATCTTGATCATACATGCGTCCGCTTTTTATATCTGAATATGTGTTTATAGAGAAATATTTTTTAATTTTGCGTGAGATTTTTTGTAAGATTTTTCATAAAGGAAATGTTAAGAAAAATTTTCAACTTTCAAATAGAATATTTTTTTGGGGGTGAAAATATCACCAAAAATCTTCTACTAAACTGATTAGCTTTTTCATATCCATTTCAGCGATTCGACGAAGAAATAAATTCGTTTGTACGACAAACTTGTTTTTGACATCATTCGTGCGACAGAAGAACTGTACACATGTAGTGTAACCACTTCTGTAGCAATGCACTTGTTTGTTTGTTCTCACGTGTTCGTCAAAGTAAAAGTTCATCAGGACACGCATCCTACTGTAACCATAGCCTTTAGGGACCTCGAAATTTAAGATATAACTATTTTTTTCATTATTTCTATCCATATAATTTAATTTTATATTTAAATTTTATTTATATGATAATCAAAAAAAGGACAACAGTTACCTTACAATTATTGCAACGTAATAAACGTACAGTTATTATATTTAAATATATTAACAATAAGTAATGAGAAGAGCGGTATAGACACCGAGTGAAAGTAATTAAAATTCAATTACTGCAGTACAGAAACACAATAACTTTTATTTCAATACTCGGAGAATGCAAGATTTACAAAATAACCGCACGATTCTCACACTTAAATGGTTCTCCAATAATTTTCACCTGCGTGATATATTTTTGCCACGTGATCATTCAAAAATATACAATACGATTTATCACCTTGAGTGTAAAAGCGGCCGAAGCACAGATCATAATTTTTATATAATGCATATAACTTTTGCATAACGCGTAATTGGGCCAATTCAGACAAACTTGCATAGCTATATGCAATTTCATATGTGCATAAAGAAATTTACTCAGTCACATTTTACGTGTGTCCATGATAAAAATGTGACTGCAGAGCCGACTTAAGACATTTTTGGCTTAGAGGCTAATATTAAAACGGGGGATCCCCTTATTAAATATTGTAATAACAATGATTTAAATACATTCATATTTTGCATTTGCTATTTAAAAAACATGATTGTTCGTATGACTTTTGTCGTGCTTTTCTGCTTAAAAGATACAAGACAGTTCTGTATATTGAAAAATAAACATATGAAAATAATTCACATTTTATTAAAATTACAGTGGCACTTAAAACTTTTTTTCTTCATTTATTGTACGCAAATTCATTGATTAAATCATTAAAATCAAGGTTTCTCAGCAGTTCGTTTTTTATAGCTAATAATGCCAAATGACGATAGTCTAATATCAATCATTGTGGATTGATATTTACTTTTTATTATTGAAATCAACAATTTTAAGCTTATAAGGGGCCTCCTAGAAAGATGGGGCCCGGGGCTGCAGTCCCCTTAGTCCCCTCCCCTCTTAAACTTGTGCACTGTGCGATTGGATAATTTTCTTTATGCATATGATTATGCAACTACGCCAGTTTGTTTGGAGGCTCTAAGGACTATAACACGCAAAATGACACAGCTGCATTTACATAGCACAAGACTGTCTGGACTTAAAGACATAGAATATGGAAATAATATCAAATGTGGTCAACAAAAATGAGAGAGAGGAGTCAAAGACGACCAACTCCCTCTCTCTACGTCAAATACTACTCGGACCGATTTCTAGCATCGTGGACATAATAAGGCTTTAAAGACATAATGACTTCTTCTATATATAGATTGCCGCAGATATTATGAAACTTAATATTATTTTAACGCAATTTTTTAAAAACTTATTTATTTGAAAAGATTTTCCTAGCAGAGATACTTTCAATGGTTTGCTATTCTGAGAGGTGACGGTCAATATAAATCTGATTGTTACTTGTTTATTATTATTTGTTTGTTTAAAATCTGATATATTCTGAATTTTTACGCGTCTGCGCAACTCTCTACGTCACGATCGTCATGTTAAGCCGTAATCACACTAACAATTGAAATTGAGATTGGAATTTAATCAATCAGAAGAAAAAAAGCTACATAGAATAGTTCCGGTATATGTTCCGGGATACGCACCTATTAAAAACTTAATTTATCAGATATTATTTATTATGTTTAAGTTAAATAAACTATACCAGTAAAAACTTTATACTGTCTATTATTATGAAACAAATATTAGAAATCTGAAATATTTATTTTTTATATTAAAAACAAAATTTCTTTAAACCCTTGCATTTTTGCCGCATATCCCATCGGGATGGATTATACGGCTAATCACGAGTGGGATAAATGACTCAAAAAATTTACAAATAATCTAAATAATAACAATAAATAACATGTGAATTGACAACGTAATTTGCATTTAAAAAAAATAGAAGAAATGAAAGCAATTTTCTCGCAACCACTCTGTTACATGCCTTTATGTTATATTAGTATCAGATCGGAAGAG